GGGGAATAAATCTGGGTTGGCTATGTGCAAGGCAAATGCCCGACCCACTGTACTATCTCTCTAGCCTCTTGACTCCTTTTAGTGTAGCTACCTACATGTGTGAGCCTCTCCTTTATACAGTGAATGTTTTTGTCCTTTTACTTTCCAACAGTTTGATGTATGATATAATAGATCTAAATTATAGATGATTCACTTATGTGTCTCTTTTATCTCTGGAGTTTTCTCTGATAATATTGAACTCATATTTGGTAACATCTGTTTCTCAGAAGAACAGATCAAGATAGACATTTAAACAAGGATGTGTCCATTTGGTCCTTCATAGTGATTCTATTGGAAAAACATAATTTTTACTCAGTAATAAAATAGTGAGAAGATTTGCATATCAGTTCATGCCTTCTTGGCCAGATGCTAAGCTTTCTGAAGTCAGGGTACATATATTATGTGTCTTTCTTCACTTATCCTGGGTTTTGCTGATTTGTAAGTACCTACTACTTGAATGAAAGAATAAATTGAACTTCTCAGAAGTTTGATTTTTTTTTTTTAATCACAGCTGGCAGTGCTAAGGACTTACTCCTGCTCTGTGCTTAGGATTCATTTCTGACAGTTCTTGAGGAACCATTTGGGTACCAGAAATAGAACCTGGGTCTGTTGTGTTTAAGGCAAATGCCCTAACCCCAGGACTGTTGCTCAGTCTCCAGAAGTTTGATTTTATTGGAATCTGTCTGTTCTTCACCAAGATGTTTTTTCTTGGTTCACTCATTGATGTTTCCTGATCTATAGTGATTATAAATATTTGTGCTATAATAATTTATAATCAGATAATGAATTTAGGAAAGATTCCTTCTAAAAATGAATTTTATAGTAGAGTATATGTTTGTGTTTATACATAGATAGATAGATAGGTAGATAGATAGATAGATAGATAGATAGATAGATAGATAGCACAGTGGGAAGGTGTTTGCCTTGTGCGCAGCCAGCCCGGCCGAGCCGGGTTCGATTCTTCCTCCCCTCTCGGAGAGCCGGGCAAGCTACCGAGAGTATCTCGCCCGCATGGCAAAGCCTGGCAAGCTACCCATGATGTATTCAATATGCCAAAGTTTAAGTAGGATAAAGAAAAAACTATGTCATGATTGAACAGATATGTGTGTGTGTGTGTGTGTGTATTTACATGTTGTTAGGGGAGAAAAATTACATAATGATTTTCCCCAGAATGAGAAAGTCTAACTATAGTAGGCAGAAGAGAAACTCCTCTTGTCTAAATCCCAGGCTCGTCCTTCCTTTGGTACTTCCACTACTCACATCCTGCTTTGTTCTTCTTCAAAGCTGGGCCTGAAACAAAACTTGTACTTCAGTGGGGCATGAGTAGTGTGGAATACAGGAATCTGCTTCTCATTCTATTGCTACTGCCTCTTCCCTTTTTGCTTTCGTTTGCTGACTGTAGTTGCAGTTAAATCATTCACATAGACATTGTTTTATTTAACAATATCCTTGATTTCCTCTTCTGTGTCACTCACTGAGAGCCACAAAGATCTTAATTTCAGCTCTACCTGAGTCAAGAAAAAGTGTTGATCCTTTGTAAGTACCACCTGTAAGCATATTGTTGCGATCAATATGAATGAAAACTCGTATTTAGTCACTGCTTACTCAGTATTAGGTAGTGAACTAAAATCATGAAGCAACTCTTTCTCTGATTTAAAAACTTGTTGTTTTCCAAATAAAGTTAAAATTTCATAGCCTGGCTTTTAACACGCCACACTTCAGCAAAGTAACTAGTCTTTCCAGCTCCACCTTTGTTCACTATGAATCATTTGCTCTGGCCACACCCTTGTATCTGTTCCCCTGAGTACTCAAAGCTTTTTCTTTTTCTTTCTTTTCTTTTTTTTAATTTTTATGTAGGAGTACTGCTATTTATTCAGACACTGATTAGCTGATTGAATTGGGCATGAACTCCACTTTACTGTCTTTTTTCCCCATAATTTTATTTATTTATTTTTCTTCTTTTATTTATTTATTGAACCGCTGTGGGAAAAGTTACAAAGTGTTCAGGTTTAAGTCTCGGTCATACAATCATCAAATACCTTTCCCTTCACCAGTACTCATTTTTCACCACCAAGGACCCCAATATACCCCCTCCCACCCCTCCCAATACCTGTGAGGCAGATGATTTCTATTTAACTCTCCTCTACATTGATTACATTCATTATTTCGACAAAAGATGCACCATTATTGTTTAGAATTTCCCCCCCAAAATCAGAATTGCTGAAAAGGCATTGTGAAATACTTTGTTTTCTATAGCTGGTATGAGAATCACATAATGTGGCGCAGCCGCTTTGGCTGAGCAATATTGGATTTCTACAAAGAGCCAGATAATTAGGAGATTGGTTTCTGTACGTCTGGTGTTATGGCTGTGCCGGAGAACCACTCATGGGGGGCAACTTGTGACCTTGGTAGGGCATGAAGGACGAGCCGGTACTGCCCCACTTCCCATGAGTCTGCAGTTGCCCAGTCACCGCTGGCTCATACCTGGCTTTCCTATAAGCTCTGAGGTGGTGGCCACCTTGCTGCGGAGGAGGTGGGAGGGGGGCGGAAGGGAGAAACACCCTTTCCCTCCCGGAGAGGCATGGCGCCGTAGTTTAACGCATGGACCATTCACTTTTCTGCTGCAAGCTGCAGGGCTCTGAACTAAGTCCTTTTGCCTCTGGAGCCATGGCCGTGTCAGAGAGCTGCTCGTGGGGACAGAGCTTTTTCTTCAAGATAGAAAAGAACCATTCTTAGAGACAGGCATGCATCCTTTCTCTCTCCCACTGGGTCTTTTTTTGTTTTTCTGCTAGATCCCTACATCACCTGCTGTGAGTACCACTACTTTATCACTTTTGGCATTCTGCCTTCCATTGACTTTTCCAGCACTCTCAGCTCATCCTCAGTTTGTTATCAGCCTACAGTATAGTAGGGAAGCCTGGCAGTGTAAACATGGCTGCCTGGGTACCCACTGCACTTTCCAGTTTGGAGATGTTAACATTATAAGGGACCTTAAATTATGTAGTGCTCAGATCAAGAATTTTCATTGTAAATCACTGGATAAAGAGTCAGTTCTGGGTTATATAGTAAAAGGACAATTAGAACTAGTGTAGAAAACAGAACTAATGACATTGAAAATGAGAGATGGCAATAATTTTTTTTGGTTTACAGTGCCTGTTAGATCCCTAAACATACATCATATTAATTTACTTAATCTTCATGCCACTCCTATTATGCCTTTATCATCCTTTCATAGATGAGAACATAGGTTCTGATACATAGTAATTTGCCTAAGACCTCCAAACTAGTCCCCCTGGAGAAAGAGAATTATCATTTTTTTCTCTATAAAGCTCTTCTCTTTTTACTCTGCCTGTCTCTCAAACTGCTGCTTCTGTTTACTTGATCCTCCACGACATACTAACTTAAAACCTGAACCTCATGAGTCAGTTTCACATCCCTATCCTTTTTTACCCTGTTCTTTAAGTTTTCCACTTAAAGTGTTATCTTAAACAACACTTTGAATTTATAAAAACTGTTTATCTGTTTTCAAATGTTATGCCTCTACATTCATCATTCAAATGTTTTGCCTCTACTTCCCTGGGGAAGAAGAGTCTGGGTTCTGTTGTCTGTTGTCTGAACTCTACAAGTGATATTGGATGCCTTGAAATAGAACTGGCATAGCTGCTGCTACTACTGATTTTGATCTTTTAGCAACAATGACAGTAGCCACCACGACTAAATGCCTAGAAAAGCAGAATCAGCTGTGTCCCTACATGTTTTTCTGATTTGTATTGTACTGTTTAACTTCATTTCTCATGGAAAATACTGCTGCAGTCAAGATTATTTCTTATCTCAATGAAGGTGCTGCATATTCTCCTGTAATTTGCAGTACTGTTTGTTTTGTTAAAGCTATCCTTGTAATTTTGTATTGTAATTTCTATACTGGTTTGAAAATATTGAAGATAAAAATACTCTCCCCTTTCGAGAAAAAGATATAATGATTAAATCTGACGCGTGGTGGATGCAGGATAAAAAAAAATTCAAAGTACAGAGAATGTAAATATTTGACTTGATAGAATGTGACTTTTTTTTTTTTAACCAAGATTGTGATTATTAAAACCAGTGTTTCCCAAAGTGGGTCAGATTGCCCCATCCTACTCCAGCACCTACACCCAGAAGATGCTGGAATTGTCCAGCAGGAGATGTAGTAGCCTCTGCTACAATGAGGGGCACTTTGTTTGCTAACTTAAAGAAGGCAGATTTCCAGGGAGGTACTTTTTTTCTGAAAAGGAGGACGTTGGAAAAGTAAGTTTGGGGACCTCTTATTTAAACCTTATGTTGAGCTCTTAGACAGATGGTCTTTTGAGTAATGAACAGTCCTTTGAATATATCAAAATGCCATTTGGTAAAGTGATGAAGTGGCATTATTAATAACTTACTTATGCATAAAAAAATCTGGTGTGAGAGTGGGTAGCCATAGATTAGAAAAAAAATACTAAGCTCTGTCTTATAGATAAGAATGACTGTGTTGCCTTTCTGACTTTTCAGCAGCATTTCCCTGTTTCTGTGTAGGAAGGAAAGTAGACAAAATCAGTGTTCCAGTTCCTGCCACTCAGTGTAGCTGTCTGCAGAGAGCTGTAGGATCTCCTTCCTCTGTGATACTTATTCTAATCTAAGACAAAGGTGATATAATCAGTAAGGAACATGTAAAAATGAGCAAATAAATAAGAAAAGAAATAGTATTGACCATTATTTTCCATGTTTTGCCTTGAAAATATGTCGGATCAGCACATTTTCAAAATTTTAAAGAATAAAAGACTTAAGGTTTTTCTACTATGTTAAAAATTTTAAGCACATGTAACCATACTTCACTGATTTGTTATCATTCTGGAAAAATCATTATACATAGGTAATTCCCCCAGATTATAGTGAAATACCTTAAGGACGATGCCTGTCTAACCACTGAGAATTGATTATATTTCCTATGTAGTCTTCATTCACTACACAGCCCAGGCAAGGTCCTTGACTGAGGTATATATATGGAGTAAGTTTGCTGGCCCTCTTCTTTCTATAAAGAATAGTGTAAAGAACATATCCTGTCATAAGCACCAGGTGGCCAGTTTCTTATTGTTGTTTTAATCATTTCTAAGACTAAATTGATTTCTAAAATCAATTTCTCAACATGGCATCTTCTGTAGTTCTATGGAATCCCTTTTCTACTGCCATTCTTTTAATGTTTCAGTCTATAAACATTGCCACCATGCATGATTTAAAATCTCTTCTTTGAGAAATACGTAGAAAAAGCCACTGGGCTGGGTGACAAGAAATTTAAAGAGGAGATAGCAATACCTGCAGTACTGCTATCTGCAGTGGCACATTAAGGAAGCCCTGCACTGTAGCACTTTCCTCCCATTTTTCATCGATTTGCTCGAGTGGGCACCAGTAATGTCTCCATTGTGAGACTTGTTGTTACTGTTTTTGGCATATCAAATACATCACGGGTATCTTGCTAGGCTTTGCCGTGCGGGCGCAGTACTCTAGGTAGCTTGCCGGGCTTTCCAAGAGGGGCAGAGGGATTGAACCCTGGTTGGCTGGGGTCGGCTGCATGCAAGGCAAACGCCCTACCTGCTGTGCTGAAGCAGTTTTTTGCATAGCTGACCTTTGAAGTTCAGCTGGAAGTAGGGACCTGGGAGTGTGTTAGACAGGACATGGGCATGGGGCTGGGCATTTGACTAGCTGTCCTGTCACTTCTGGGTGGGGGACCAAGGACTGTGGCAGTAAGGGTGCTGGTAGTGCAGTTCCAGTGACATTCTGACCCCATTTCTGCTCAGCCTGTATAGCCTGGCTAGTGAGAATGAACTTTCCCAGGCTCTCCTGTTTGCATGAAGCATCCTTCTTTGGTCAGTAAAGTATCTTCAGCTCTGTTATTGGTTGCTCTGTTATCGGACACACAGGAGACACACACAGCCCCTGTGTGTCTTCAAGATGTCAGACCACAGTCTTTTCCTTCTTCTACCTATCTACCAGCAGCACGTTCACTTCTCCAGGCTCTGCACAACCCAGCATCATCTCCTTTCCTGCCTTCATACCTGCTCCTTCTGCTGCCCACAGTCAGTGCTCTTTCCTCTCACGTGGCCTTGATGCCATGATCTCACTATGTGGTGTGTTTCAGTCAAGCCTGAGTCTCCTGGGGTTTGTGGTGTCTGCAATGTAATTATTGCCAGAGTGTGGGAGGCCTGTTTGTCTCCCTTTCCTACGGTTCTGAGTAGCTACAGTAAATGTTTGTTGAAATAATAAATGAATGAAGTGTTTTTATTGAGTTCATCCTTGTTTGGGGCTGTAAAACAAATGATGTGTCTTCTCAGAGTTGGAATATTGTGGGAAGGTAAAACTGCCAAGCAACACAAATATTCTGGATTTCACACTAATTATGAATTGAGAAAAGGCCACATGATGGTAGGAAGTAAATTGAGGTGGTGAGTGAGGTATTTGTCCTCTCTGAGAACATACCCTGGGGAGGAGGGTGGCTCTTCAGCTGTGTTTGCTTATCCTACCAAGTTTTAATCTTGTGAGCCTGCTAATAAGGCAGCCTAGAGCTGTAGCTCTTGTAGGAGGAAACCATCCATTTCTCACTATTGTGTGGGATCCATTGGAACCCCTGTGATTTGGCTCTTCCTTTATAGTACACATGATTAAAGGCCCTCCCGTTGATCGTCGATTTGCTCGAGCGGGCCCAGTAACGTCTCCATTGGAGACTTTGTTGTTACTGTGTCTGGCATATCGAATACTCTCGGTAGCTTACCGGGCTCTCCGAGAGGGGCGGAGGAATCGAACTCGGGTCGGCCATGTTGGCCGCGTGCAAGGCAGACGCCCTACCCGCTGTGCCTCCAGTACACATGATTACTCTAGTAATATTCATACTGATATTTATTTTCCTTTTGCCTCAGTAATTACTCTTGTCGGAAAAAAGCTTGTCTGTAAAAAGACAGTTGTGTAATTACTTCTCTAGAAAATTGACTTTCTACTGAGTCCTAGGATTAGTGTTTGGGAAGAATGGGTGTCACATTTTGGGACAGCCAGTGGAGTAACAGACCCTGAACTGGGCTCATTATGTGGCCTTTGCAGAGCACAGATCAGTCCTTGTGCCTTGGTCACGGCTTTCAACCTCAGTCACCCTCTGCACTAGAAGTGACATTCTTATTCTACTGTTATGGTGAAAGAAAGCTACGTGTAGCCCACGGCAGAGCCTGGCAAGCTACCTGTGACATATTTGATATGCCAAACAAGTCTCATGATAGAGACGTTACTGGGCCCGCTTGAGTAAATCGATGAACATTGGGTTATGAAATTTCATTTATTGATTGATTTATTTTGGTTTGGGGGCCATACCTGGTAGTACTCAGGGATCAGTCCTGGTAGTATTTGGGGGACCATATGTGGTGCTGAGAATTTGAGCCAAGGTTGACCACATGCAAGGCCAATTGCTCTACCACTTCCCTGTACTGACTTCCAGCCCTAGATTTAGGAACCCTGGAGAGATGTAAGGGTCAAATAGCTATCATTAACCTGTAAATAAGAATTGTTTTAGTAAACACAGTAGAAGACCTCAAAAAATATTTATGGAAAATGAAAAATTTGGATGGTGTGATAGAGGGGCTCTTCCATATTGGTAATTTTTTTTTCCTTAAATTTCTCTGTCCCTTCCACCGAAGAAATCTTCAGAACACATTTTGAAAATGTTGAAAGAGTAGCCCTGGAAAAAAGGTAGGATTAGAATGAGACCTATGATTCTGTCTGATCTAGGGATGATTTAGTTGTCACAAGTGACTGCCTTGCCCTGTAAGGCCATTTTATCTTTTTAAGGGTACATTCTCACTTCCTATGCTCTTTTAGACATGATTTTGGGCAGCATGCATCTTGATAACTTGTGGATACACATCTCCTGTCTGGTATTTATTCCATTTATGTGTCTTGCAAAAAAAAAAGTCCAAAGACACAGTATAGTATGCAGAGTGCTTGCTTTGTACCTGATCTACCCAGGTTTGATACCTGGTACCCCACATAGTTCCTTAAGCTATGTGATCCCTGAGCTAAGAGCCAGGAGTACTGAGCATAGCCAGATATTTTCCCCCAACTCCCCAAACAAAAACCTACAGAAGTTTTGAGGGAATGGTTGGTTCATGAATTTTATTTGGTTTTGGAATTGTAATTCACAGGGTTCAAAAAGCATATTTAGTGAATAGTTTGACTTTACCATTTACTTTCTTTCCTTTTAATGTTCAGTGCTATCAGCCTCTTTGTTTCTTTCTAGAATTGTTTTTACGCATATTCCAGGAGGTACTTATAAATGTGCCCCACTTCCATTGCTAAAATGGTGGTATAGATAGTGTTCTTCATCTCTTTAGTGGCTTGTAAATACTTACTGAGTTTAGCTTATATTGAAAGGAAGTGATTTCAGGAATATCATCTGTTGACCTTCTGCTTTCTTCATAAATAAGACCAGCATTAGTTTCATGCTTGGCAGAACATTTCACACTCCTTAGAAAGGTGAGAAAATCCTGGCACTGTGATCCTGTTTGGTGGTTTCATCTGTGAGCAAACCCTAAAAACCTTTTGGGCTTCCAGTTCACATCCTATAACCACCCAAACAAACAAGAGCACACAAGAAAAACTGAGCAAAACAAGAATAAAATCCCCACAAATTCAGGAAAAATTTCTTTACTAACCAGAAATTCTCACTTTTTTTCTCTGTTTCCTCTGAATCTCACCAAATTTTAAGATTTGGTAGCAAGTCAACAGAAAGTTCTAAACTCATTTTCTCTTCCCTGGCTTCTCATGGCATTGGAGATTGTTTCTATTTGGTGCCCTTATCTTTATGTGGGCCATTCACTCGACTAGGATTGGCTTGCTTCATTGAAACAATGGACAATTTAGAGGAGTGATATAGCAAATATCCAAATCACAGAGTCAACACTGAAATCATGAGTTAAAGTTTTACAATCAAACTTAAAATGGTGCATGTCAAAATAGCCTGGTGGGATGGGGGTGGAGGAGGAAACCTGGGAACACTGATGGAGGGAAGTTGACAGTATCAGTGTTGGGAACATATACACATATATATGTTGATTATTAATAGCTTTGTAAATCATGTTGCTCTAATATTAAAAATATATTGGAAGACTTAAACCTCAGGAGGTCTTTTATTACGCAGTTCTTCACAACCCGACTATGAGTTTAGAGATCTTTCATCTTACATTATTAAGTCCTGCATTGTTTTAAGGTGATTTTAGGATAAAACAGTATTCATCAAGCTTTACTAAAGGGTAGATATTTAAATTGTAGTCTCCCAGAGAGGATGTTTCCTAGATATCCCTCAGATTACTGCTGTTGTTGGTTTTTTTTAATCTCCAGCTCTGACTTTTATAAACCTTTCTAATAACGGCTCGAAGTTCTCTCTCCCGAGGTACTCAAGTTGCTTACTCCTCTCATTCCCTTGTCTGTGATTCCTCCTATCACTCAGTCACACATTCATTCATCTGTTCAATGAATAGTACAGACTTCTTGTTATGGTTAGTTTCATGTGTCAGCTTGGTGAGGATATAATATCCCGTCATTCAATCAGGCACACTGATCTGGACGTTACTGAGTGACTATTGTCACATATTACTTAAAGATGTGAATAGTTCTGAGAAGTGTGTCTGTCATTTCTGAGAAGTGTTTTGTCATAGTATGGATTACATAGAACACACTTAGACTGTGTGGTGTTGTTAGTCTGCCAGAGCCTGGGCCATGTACCATAGTTTACTCCATCATCAGCACTGCATGATTGTTGCACCTGGTGTTTTTATTTATTTATTTATTTATTTTCTAGTAATACCAGTATTTCAGAAAAGCTTCATGTAATGGTCACATCTCACTTTTATTTTCAATAGAGAAAATACTGGGATAAGCCTTCAATCTTATCAATTAGATCTTGCTGTTTGCTGCAGCTTGGATGGAATTAGAGGAAGTCATGCTAAGTGAAGTGAGTCAGAAGCAAAACAGTTCAAGGCCTTAGACAATCCCTAGTGGAAACAGCTCTGAGATATGGTCAATAAAACTGTGATCTGAGGACGCTA